GAAAAGCATAATATTGTTCCCAAAATCTGACTTAAAGTATCTAGTTTAGACTTGATTTTGTTTAGTCCAATCTAGTTTAGTGGATTTCTTATATTTTATAAGTAATATAGTTCTTTAACTAATAATGTATAATGACGAGTTAGTTACTTTGTGAAAGTTTGTAAACATTATGGTATATTTTAATATCTCAATAAAGATATATCATTGTGACATGATTGTGGGTTAAAAAAAATATATATATATTTAATAAAAAAAACTTATAACTTAAATTTAATTTAACTAGTTTTTTAAATTTAATATTTTAAAATTCAATTTTTTTAATTATATTATTATATATTTTTAATATTATTTTATAATATATATATAATATTTAAGTATAAAGATTTTTAGAATTTGTATAAATTATTTTATTAAAAATAAATAAATAAATATTTTTTAAAAAACTGTAGTAATAACCTGTGAGCAATGATGTTAAAAGTTGAAAGAGTTTTCACCTGAACCTCTAATGGAGTGATAAATCATTTCCGAAGTTGTATTTAGAGAGATAATACAATCAAAATAAGTAAGTTAATTATAGATTTGGCTTTAGTATTTCATTTAATATATATAGCTTACAAATGTTTAATAAAGCATACATAAATAAACTGACAGAGGATAAAAAAAAAAATAAATAAAAAATAAATATTTTTTAAAAAAAAAATTCTTAATATTATTTTTTTAAAATTTATACTTGAAAAAATATAGTAGAAGGGTATTATTCACCCAAACTATAAATGGAATGACAAATCACTCCCAAAGTTACACTTAAAGTTTGACAATAAACTAAGATGAGTGAGTTAGTTAGCATTTTAGCTTTAGTGACACTGTAAATAGTATAGCCTACATTATGTTTAATAAAGCACACGTAACTAACCTGATAGCAAGTTATAAAAAAAAAAAAATTTTAATCAAATATGATATATATTTATTAAAAAAAATTTTTTTTTACTAATAGAAATTAAAAGATTTTTTTTTTAAACTCTTTAATATTTCTATATTTAGATCAGAAATTTTCATTTTTTATTTTATTAATTTAAATAGTATCAATGGACTTACGTATATTAGTTTCCTTACTTCGTACAGAGAATTAATCTAGTTTATTATATGTTTGTTTAGATAGAAAAATTGGTTTTATAAATAACTTTGAGTTCTATAATTTTTTATACAGTTTAAAAATAAAAAATAAAAGTTTGTTAAAATATTACAAATTATATTTGATACATTAATTTTTCACTTGGGAGATTGAATAATGCTCTGTTGACTAGAGAGGACTTTACTTATTGTACTGTAACTTAAATAAGCCAATAAAAGTATGACGAACTCGTGTGTTTTCGATGTATGGAAATATGTCACTATTATAATTGTTATTATTATTATTTTTTTTCACAAATAACGAACTTTAGTGCGTAGCATGACGCATACATTTTAATACATAAATTTTGTCTCCTCCCATTCTTTTAGACTTTGTGAACGAATCACGTGTTGGTCGTCCGATAATCCACCATGCATATCCGATATACTGGATTTTGAATGTGTTCAAAAAAAAAAAAAATGAAATTCACTTTTTTTCGTCGTTATCGTACTCTATCATTAAATTCACGCTCTTCGAGAAGCACATTCGTTCACTCACTAAATAGTACAAATCCCTTAATTAACAAAAGTCATTTAAGTAACAACTCACAAAAATTTCCACTCTTAACAACCGACTTTTCGGTGGACTACTTAGTAATAGGTGCGGGTGTAGTTGGACTCGCCATCGCAGAACGTTTATCGAAACGACAAGGAAAGTCTGTTCTATTGGTTGAGAAGAATTCTAGGTTTGGTGAAGAAACAAGGTAGGAACGGAAAGGTAGAATGAAAATCAATTTTTATCAATTATAATGATTCTTGTATAATTTTTCAAGCTCAAGAAATAGTGAAGTAATCCACGCAGGAATTTATTATCCGAATGACAGCTTAAAAACACGTCTATGCATTCGCGGAAAACAATTACTTTATTCTCTACTCTTTTCTCAGCACCAAACTTCACCATCAACCCTGATAAACTATACTTCTTCCTTAACCACTGATTCTTTTATCTCCGACTACATTCCTCCACATCCCTTTACCCTTCCTAACGGAATCTCGCCCCATCAAAAATTGACAATTCCTTTTTATCGTATAGGAAAATGGATAATTTCCCAAAACGATGAAGAGTCCTCCTACTTGGTTGCCTTACACAAGAAATCCAAACACATCGGAGTGGAAACTTATTTCTTGTCAAAAGAACGACAGGAGCTCCTGGAACCAAGCGTGAAAGCGAAAGACGTATTGGTTTCCCCCACGACGGGAATTTTTGATTCACATGCATTTATGTCATGGTTGGAATGGGTGTTCCAAGACAGAGGTGGTGATTTGGTATTAAACTCGGAGGTTACTAACATTTATAGAGGAAATTTTGGTAGCGGGGATGGGTACGTTGTAGAAATTATTGATACTGATTCTGTAACTCAATTCTCTACAAATTCATCTTCAAAGACACAAAAAACGCGTATATTCTCTCCAGTGGTTGTAAATACAGCAGGACTCTACTCTGACCGGATAGCTAATATGTTGCTGCCACCAGAATATCATTACAAACTTAGTTACGTTAAAGGTCATTATTATGGTTACCGGGGTGGCGAAGCATTAAAAGTAAAACACCTCCTTTACCCAGTACCACCAAGAAATCTGAGATCTCTAGGAATACACCTTACATTGGACCTCAATGGCAAAATTAGATTTGGACCTGACGTGTTGTATGTCGACACTCCTAACGATTATGGAATGAATGACAAGAGAGAAAACATCTTTTTCGAAGCCGTTAGGAATTATTTACCTAATATTAGAAAAGAAGGACTGTATGCTGATTATGCAGGGATCAGGTTTTTTTTTTTTTACTACTTTACGTTTATGTATCATCATATGTGAACCTTTATTTTATTGATAACCGCGTTTACCAACCCTGGAACTCTAATATATCTATGTTAAATATTATTTACAAAAAAAAAAAAATTTTTTAAATAGGCCGAAATTGTCAAGGTCTAGTGAACCTTTTAAAGATTTTGTAATTAAAGAAGAAATTGAACGTGGATTGAAGGGGTTTGTGAATTTGACGGGAATTGAAAGTCCGGGTTTAACTTCTTCACTGGCAATTGCGGAAATGGTGGATATTATGCTAGTTGATAAATAATGGACAATTGATGTATTCGACGTTTGGAATCAAATAGAAGGTGATGTCGACCCGTGATTTTGTACACCATACTATTAATAATTTAACCAATTTAATTAA